CTTAATGCTACTGAACTGCACACTTAAAAGTGGTTAAAATGGTTACTTTTATGTTACATATATTTTACCACAATAAAAAAACTGTTTAACGTTTCAAGTACAGTGACTATGAGAAAAATAGAACGAACGTGCATTGACCCACCAAACTGTACTGCTAGCATTGTGTCAAATTCTCTTCAGTCTTTTTAAGATTTTCTTTTTTCGGGGATCCCTGGGTGGCGCAGCGGTTTAGCGCCTGCCTTTGGCCCAGGGCGCGATCCTGGAGACCCGGGATCGAATCCCATGTCGGGCTCTCGGTGCATGGAGCCTGCTTCTCCCTCTGCCTATGTCTCTGCCTCTCTCTCTCTCTCACTGTGTGCCTATCATAAATAAATAAAAATTTAAAAAAAAAAAAAAAGATTTTCTTTTTTCTTTTCTTTTTTTTTTTTTCGGAAGACGCCTGGGTGGCTCAGTGGTTGAGCATCTGCCTCCAGCTCAGGGCGTGACCCCAGGGTCCTGGGTTCGAGTTCCACATCGGGCTCCTGCATGGAGCCTGCTTCTCCCTCTGCCTGTATCTCTGCCTCTCTCTCTATGTCTCTCATGAATAAATAAATAAAATCTATTAAAAAAAAGATTTTTTTTAATTTGAGAGAGAAAGAAAGAGACAAAGTGAGCAGGAGGGAGAGAGAGAATCAGAAGCTGACTCCACACTGAGTGCTGAGTGCAAAAGCCCGACGCGGGGCTCGACCCCACGACCACGTGATCATGATCTGAGCTGAAAATAAGAGTCAGATGCTTAACTGACTGAGCCACCCAGGTGCCCCATCTTCAGTCTTTTAAAATAAAAGGAAGAAAACTTTGCAAATTAAAAAAAAAAAAAGTTTCAGAGGGATTTATCCCAGAAATGGAAGGGTAATTCAACATGCAATGTTGAATGTAATGTAACCAAAACACATGATTATCTTAATTGGCGCAGAAAAAAGAATCTGACAAAATCCAACACCTTTCATGATGAAAACACTTAGGAAACTGGAAATAGAAGGGAATATCCTCAACAAGACACAGGACATTTATGAAAACCCCACAGCAAGCATCACACTAGATGGTGAAACTGAGAGCTTTTTCTCTAAGATCAGCAACAAGACCAGGACATCCAGTCTCACCACTGCTACTCAACATTGAATTGGAAGTTCTAGCCAGAGCAATTCGGGAAAACACCACAAACTCAAGCAAAATAAAATTTAAAAAAAAAATAAATAAATTCATTTCCATCCGAATTGGAAATGAAGAACCATAGAGTTGACATGATTCTACATTAGAAAACCCCCAAAGACTCCACACGCGCAAAAAGCTACTAAGGCTAACACACACATAATAATTTGGCAAAGTTGCAAGAGTACGGGATCAACACACAAAAATCAGCTGTGTTTCAATACTACCACCACCAATGAACAACCTGAAAAAGAAATGAAAAAAAAAAAAAATCCCATTCAGGAAAGCTTCCAGAGCATCTAAGTCTTGGCTGTTAAAAGAGTCTCAGGATCCTTTGAAGTGGAAACATTTTGTTATTAACAGCCTTGGTGGAGGCACATGCTTTTCAGCACCTTTCATTTTTCACGCATATTAGTGCAGCTCATATTAAAATTAAGTGGAGCAGAGAGTCGATGGGGTGGCAGGGTGGACTGCACAGGCCGTGCTGAAGAGGCGCCACATCCGCAGGCACTTCAGAGAGGCCTGGGTCTTGGCCATTCTGCTTCCCTTCACGTCTCTCAAGAGTCACAGGAAGCTGGGAAGCAAAGTCCCAGGCCCCTTGGAGGAAATCAGGCCTGAGTCAGCCTTCCTGGGAGGTTGAAAGAACAGATTAGGCCCAGCAAACTGTTTATACCAAAGAGGGTGTTTCTTACTTGAAAAGTTGGTTGGGGTTTTTTGTGTTTTTTTTTTTTTTTTTACGTCGAAGAAGGAACTAAAAGTGTTTTTAATTATTGTTTTGTGACTAGGGGCCAGAAAGATGAAGGGTTTGCCAAGTATTGCCACATTCTTAGTTCTCCATACTCCAGAGACACTAAGGGCTGGAGTTGGTTCCATCACTGAGATAGCTCCCCTTAACCCGTTTCTGTTCCTCTCTCACTGACAGCTAAGGAACATCTGCCAAGATCTATGGATGGAAACACTAGGCAGAGAAAATTCTGAGTGCAAGGAAGGCATTTGCTGAAAGGGAGTAAGTCCTAGACTGGTGGCCAGAAGACCTGTGCCTAGAGGGCTGTGTGGCTTTGAGTCCATTCGCTCCCCCCCTCTTGATTCTTATCCCTAAAGGGAGGAGGGGCAGGACAGGAGGTGGGAGGGGAAGAGAGGCTTTTGACTTTGACGGTCTAGTTTTTTTTTTTTTTTCTAAAGGCCAAACCCATTAAGAACTCAAAAGGACTTTATTTTCTTTTAAAGATTTTATTTATTCATGACGGACCCAGAGAGCGAGGCAGAGGGAGAAGCAGGCTCCCTGCGGGGAGCGCCATGCCATGCGGGACTCATCCCAGGACCTGAGCCAAAGGCAGGGTACTGAGCCACCCAGGTGCCCCTCAAAAGAACTTTAAAAGAAAGGGGAAGTGACGTTGATTGGAAAGAAAAGCGGAAAGAGGACAAATTTTAAAGAACAGACAAGAGATTTTCCGACTCTAGGCCACTCTCTTCTACTTGACCAAGGCCGAGCAGATGCTAGAGGCTCAGGTGGACTCAGGAGGGGAGCAGATCTGGCAAGGGAAGGAGAAACAGCATTCCTGTTTTCAGTTTCCCCAGGCCAGGGCTCCCCAGGTACGCCTCACAAAAGGCCCTGATGCTTAAATATTGCCCATCTGTGGGCAAATCAATCCCCCTTATGGACCAGGTTTTAAGAGGGAAAGAGTGTGGTGGAGGCAATTAAGCAACTCCCTCAAAATGAACAAAAGGGCACCTGATTTGGATGGGAGGCCTCTGGGTGGGTGTTCCTTAGATTTTTTCCAGTTGTACGACTCAGCAAACATTTAGAAAGTGCCTACTACGTGCTGGGCTGCAATGGGGTATCTGGCTAGACGGCATTCATAGGGGGATAAGGCATGTGCACAAATCCCAAATATCTAAAACACAAAGTAGAGTGTGAAACCTGCCCGGGGGGAGTTCATATAAATCTCCAGTTGGGAATAGGGGCTGCCCCGCCCCCCCTTCACCTGAGAAGTTCAGTCACTGGGCCCTTGAGGCGGAAGCACAGACCTGAAAAGCCTTGTCTGTTCTTCCAGGAGTAGCAACGTCCCCCAGCTCCATTTTAAAAGAAGTGAAAAACCGAACCAGGCAAATTATTTGCTCTCTGATCATCTGGGCTGTTAGCGACACAGGCCGATAGAGAACTACACCCGGATAACTTCCCCTAGAAATTAATGTTGAAAGATGAGATAAAGCTCTAATTTCAGGGGAGGAAATCCACTGTCACAGTGTCCTTTCCCAGTTTCATCTCAAGGACACACTAACCAAAATTCAAGGCAGGATAAAAAAAAGAAAAAGAAAAACAAATCCATAAGGAGGCTGCAGGGACACATGTGTTTGGGGGCTGAGGGCAGCCAAGGCCCCTGAAGGGGCAGCTCCGCCTCCTTGGGGAGGGGTTCTTTGTGCGAAGTCCAGCTGCCCCATCAGCAGCCAGAAGCAGGGGACCTCAGCATCCGGAAAGATGAAAACCTAGGCTGGGCCGTGGCCGCAGGCTTCCGCGCTGTGAGCAGGCCGGGGCATCCCCACCTCGGGAACAGGAAGCCACACACACAGCCCTTATCAACCCGGGGCCGGCGCTTCCCAAGCCGGCGCCAGCTGCGCCCCGCGGCGGTCCTAACAAAGTCCCATTGACTCGCCAGCTGATCTTCCAGGGTTGGGCTCGGGGGAAGAGGCACCCTGTCTGCGGGTGGACTTCAGCCCCAGCACAGCCCCAGCACAGCCCCAGGACACCCCCAGCACCGCCCCAGCACAATCCCAGCACAGCTCCAGGACACCCCCAGCACAGCCCCAGGACACCCCCAGCACCGCCCCAGCACAATCCCAGGACAGCCTCAGCACAGCCCCAGCACAATCCCAGCACAATCCCAGCACAATCCCAGCAAAGCTCCAGCACAGCCCCAGCACAGCTCCAGCACAGCTCCAGGACACCCCCAGCACAGCCCAAGCACAGCTCCAGGACACCCCCAGCACAGCCCCAGCACACCCCTAGGACACCCCAGCACACCCCCAGCACAGCCCCAGGACACCCCAGGGCAGCCCCAGCACAATCCCAGGACAGCCCCAGGACAGCCCCAGGACACCCCAGGACACCCCCGTACGTCCTCCGGATGCTGCCTCCCCGGGCCTCCGCAGCCTCGGCGATGCCTCGTCCCACCGTCCGCTCCCACGGAGGGGACCCCGGCAGCCCCGGCGCCGAGCCCGCAGGTGAGCCCCGGAGTCACCCGGCCTCGCCCTTCCCCCCTCCCGTGTCCCGGGGGCGCTGGCCCTGGGCGGCCTCCAGAGCCGGACAGCCCCGGGGGTCGCGCGGCGCACGCCTCTCCGCGCACCCGCGCACCCCGGGAGCCGCCCGCGAGCGAGGTCACCTGCCCCGGCTGCTCCGCTCGCCCCGCGGGGACGGCACCGAGTGGGGCTCGCGCGTGAGCGTGTGCGGCGGCGCAGCCCTCGGGGGCTCCGGCGGGGAGGGCTCGACACGCTTCACGCTGCGGGGATCCCACGGGAGGGAAACTGAGGCTCGGAAAGGCCGGAACTGGGCGGCCCCCTAGTGAGCCCCCCGCCCCGGGGCAGACGCGCAGCGCCCCGGCTGTTGTTCCGGCGCCGCCCGAGCCCAGCGCGAGCCTGCCGGGCCCCGGCCCCGTCCCCGTCCCCGTCCCCGTCCCCGTCCCCATCCCCTCCGCGTCCCCGTCCCCGTCCCCGTCCCCGTCCCCATCCCCTCCGCGTCCCCGTCCCCGTCCCCGTCCCCATCCCCTCCGCAGCCCCGTCCGCACCCCCGCCCCGCCTCCGCGCACACTCACCGGCGCGCCCGCCGTCCCCGTCCGGGTCCCGGTCTCCGGCTGGGGCTGGGGCTGGGGCTGGGGCTCGGGCTCGGGCTCCAGGTCCGGGTCCGGGTCCCCGCCGCCGCGCACACTGGCGCATCCCCCGCGCGGCGCCGGCCCGGGCGCGCGCTCCTCGCGATAAGAAAGTTTCTCGGGGGCCGCGGCCGGGGGCGCCTCGCTCTGGGGCCGCCTCGCTCTGGGGCCGCCGCGGGCCCCGGCCCCACCAGGCGCGGGAGGCGGCTCCCGAACAAAGTGCGTCCCCGGGGCCGGGCGGCCGGGGCGGAGCCTGGTGACCCGCTGCCCCGGGCGCGCGCCGGCCTCCCCGCCGCCTCCGACGCGGCCTCCCCGTAACCCCTTCCTGCCCTCGCCCGCCCGCCCGCCCGCCCCGCCCCGCCCCCCGGGCACCGCCGAGCCCCGCCCGGCCCGCCGCCCCCCCACCGCGCGCTCCCGACCCCGCGCGCCCTGCGCCCTCTCCCGGGGGGGCCCAGAGGTGCCCGCGGAGCGTAGGCGCGCGGCGAGGTAGGGCGACTCCGCTGCCCTCCGCTGCCCTCCGCTGCCCTCCGCCGCCCCCCTCCTGGCAGGGCCGCGGGGGTGCGAGCGGGGCGCAGAGAGGGGGCGGGAGGGCCAGGCCGGTGCGCCCTGGGCACCCCCCCCCGCCCTCCCCGCCCGCGGGCGCCCGTGACCTGCGCCTCTGGACAAGGCTGTGAGCTCCGCGAGGCCCCCAGGGGATGGGGCCCAGAGACCCACAGCGGCAGGCAGCCCGCTGGGCATGGCACTAGGGCCCGGGAGAAGGTGAAGCCCAGCTGCCGGGGAGGTCTCTGAACGTCAGGGAGCAGGGTCAGGATGAGAATGAGAGCCCCTATCTTGGTCCTCGGGGACCCAAGGACCCTTCCGGGCAGCTGGTCCTAGTGCCCGGTCCCAAGGGGAGAATCCAGGGCCGCTGGACAGTGACCAGCAGCGACACTGAAGACCTCCCCGTCTGACCAGGGGAGAGGATCTTTACGCAGTTTTTGTCCATGGAAGGAATGGGTTGTCTTGAGGTGGGGAGTGGGGTGTGTCTGACGGACCCCTGAGATGAATCCCTTGCCCCGTTTGTGTACAGCGACTACAAGTACAGGTTCTTGGGGCAGAGCGCCCGGGTTCAAATCCTGGACCTACCACTTGGTAGCTCTGGGACTGTGAACAAATTCTTGATTCTCCGACCACCTCCACTTCTTCAGCTGTACGTAAATGGGATAATAACTGTCGCGGCGTCATAAGATTGTAGGGAGGATAAAGGGCAATAAATAGAGGTGACACCTTAGAAGAGGGTCTGGGGGTGCCTGGGTGGCTCAGCAGTTGAGCACCTGCCTCGGGCCCAGGGCAGGATCCGGGAGTCCCGGGATCGAGTCATGCATCAGGCTCCCTGCTTGGTGAAGAGCCTGCTTCTCTCTCTGCCTGTGTCTCTCTCTGCATCTCTCATGAATAAATAAATTAAAATCTTAAAAAGAAGAAGAAGAAGAAGGAGGAGGAGGAGGAGGAGGAGGAGGAGAGGGCCTGGTAGCACTCCGTAAGCATCGTAAGCATCGTGGAGTCTGAGTCCCGCAACCCTGCATGCGTCTGGCATTCAGCGATGCGCTTACTAGAATTCTTCACAGTCCCCCGTGCCTGCAGGAGGGAAGCCTGGTCCTTTAAGAAGAAGCACTGTCCCTTCTGGAGGGTTCCTGGAGTGGACTGACTGAGCTCTTCTGCCCTCCTAGGCCCAAGGACCAAGATTCCAAGACAGTCATGCAAACCGGTATCAGAGACTGAACCGCCCGGGACCCATCATGAGGCTGGACACAGGGCCCTCACCCACATGGGTAATGTTAGAATGATGCAGCTCCTTGGGTGCTACCCAGAAGCGGAAGGAGGGCCGAAGCCGGCATTGTGTAAGGGTCCAGTTTCTTGCGTCAGTGCGTATGATTAATATTTCTCCCCCATTTATGAAGGGCTGATCACACGAGTCCCCTCTGACCCTGCCCCAAATGTCCCAATCATAAGCCTCCAACAGGTAAACATAAGAGCGTGTGGCCAGGTGGGGGCCGGAGGGGAGGGCTGAGAACAAACAGGCGAGTCTGGTTGGGGTGACAGGCAGTGGAGGTGAAGGCCCCTGAAAGAGAAAGTGGCGAGGACGAGGCCGGAGCAGTGGAGAAGAGGAGCCAGAGCAACTCTGGACAGAGCGCGCTGGTCGCTGGTCGGGCCTAAGCACATTCCCCGCCCATCCCAGAAGCCGCTCCTGCCAAGTGCCTACTTTGTGAGTGATTTTCCTCTGAACGCAGCGATGACTCAGTTGCTCTGAATCAAGCAAATGGATTTTCCTTAAATATGAAAATCAATAAGACGTAAAGGCAATGGCCTGGTTGTGGGGAGCGGAGGGTGGAGGGAACTACAGGGGTGCTGGGGAGTGAAAGGGTTGGTAAGTGAAGGAGATTCAGGCTCACTGCTGGGGGCCCTTGGCTCGGCACGGGTCCCCCCACGCCCCACACTCCTGGTGGCCTCCAGGCCCTGCTGACCTTATTGCTACTCCTTAGAACCCAGCAGCTCCCCTCGTCCCCCACCCCCACCCCTTCCACCGTTTACAGCCAAACCTGCTTCAGGGCAGGAGATTGTTAACAAGAGGATTAATGTCAATGTGACAAGTGGGTTTTAAAAAATCAGCCCAGGAGCCTGTTGTCACCCCCATAGAGCCTCAGACCTGGCTGGAGTTGAGATGAGGGCTTTAGGGGCTCCAGGAAGCACAGCAGGTGACATTTCCAGGCCCAGCCTGATTTCTTGGCGGGGGGGGGGGGGGGGGGGGGGGGGGGGGGGGGGGGGCCGTGCCTGTTTTCCCGCCACCTCGAGGTCATTTGTTTCACCACTTGGGTTGTCTGACGGGGACCTTGGGGATTTGAGCAGAGTCAGAGCCCCTCCGTTCCATGACCCGCCGAGGGGCTGTCTTTACCTCTGGCCCTCTTGTTCAGGGCTCCCAGAGCAGTTTTGCAAGGCTCTCGGTGGGGATATAGGGACAGCATCGGGACGCCTGGGTGGCTCAGCAGTTGAGGGTCTGCCTTCGGCCCAGGGCGTGTTGCTGGAGACTCGGGATCGAGTCCCAGGTCGGGCTCCTGCATGGAGCCTGCTGCTCCCTCTGCCTGTGTCTCTGCCTCTCTCTCTGTGTGTGTTTCTCATGAATTAATAAATAAAATCTTTAAAAAAAAAAAGACATCATCACACGGCTTTATTTTCTTGTGCATTTAATAAATGTCATGAGGGCTTCTGAGGTGGAGTCTGAGGGAGACTCTGACTTCCTCCTCCTCAGCGCAGTGGAAAATCACTGGGCATGGTATCAGGAGACCTGAGTCCACGCTTTGGTTCAGCTGCTGGCTGGAGGGCGTCACCATCTGTAAAAAGGGGTGTTGGCACCCAGGGGACAACACTAATCACCCACCCAGCTTAGGTGAGTATTCGGTGAGATAATGGAAGAGAAAGTGGTTTATGAAGTGCTGTGCCAATACGAGCAGAAGTGTGATTATCAGACGGAAAGCACCAGCTCATCCCTCCCGCTGCCCGCCTTGTTCTCCACCCGAGTCACGCGCACGCCGCCTGTGGGCGCAGAGCTTGAGGACTCACTTTGGAGCGGCAGGTGTCCGACTGTCCGACTGCCCGCCAGCGCCCTCGCCCTCTCTAGCCTGAGTCGTTAACCCGCGAGGGGCTGCGTGCCGGGGGCGGGGGGGTGCGGGCAGAGCGGTGGTCCCCATCGTGGCCGCTCAGGCCCCGCGCCTGGCCTCGGGGTCCCCTGTAAGGAGGGCCCTCTGTTGGTTGCTGGAGCTCAGGAGGACCGGGAGGCACAGCCTGTGGGCAAAGCTGGCACAGTAACGAGCGTGTTACGAGACGGAGCGAGTCGCTGCCTTGTCGGGAAGATGCTGTTTCTCTCCCTTTCTTTGTCACCAGGACGTGACATGTCCTGAAAGTCATCACAGTGCTTTTCCAAAGATGGCTTTTAGAGAGAAGTGTCTTTTTTTTATTTATTTAAGGGGCGAGGAGGGTAGGTAGGGATGGGGTTGGCGGGGCGAAGCCGTCCCCTTTCAGAAGGCTGGCTCCGGCCGCAGCAATCCCCGGGAGGACAGGGATAGTCCATAACTTCTCCGGCGCCTGCGGAGGGCCAGCTGCGGTTCCAAGCACTTAATATACATTAATCTATTTAATCCTCGCCACAGCCCTCCGACACAGGTATCATCGGGACTTGTCTTTTATAGGCGAAGAGACCGAGGTCAATATCTTGTGCGGTTCTGACAGCAGGTGAGAGCCAGAGCCAGGCTTTGAGCTGGCAGCTCCAGCTCCTGAGGCCGTGCTTTCGCGTGCTCCGGATAGGCGGACAAGAGGGGCTCTCAGTGCAGCGTGGGGTCGTGGTGAAGGGCTCTCTCAGTTCCGAGCTTCAGTCCACTTCTCTATTTCTAGCGTCTTAACGGCTCTTTGGAAGTATACGTTATGCATTACGCACTTCACCCATTGGAAGCACATGATTCTATGATCTCTAGTAAATCTATAGAGTTGAGCACCCATCACTACAACCAAGTTCCGGAATGTTTCCATCATTCCCAAAGTTTTCTCTTTTAGTATATGGGTTTTTTTTTTTTAAGATTTTATTTATTCATTCATGAGAGACACACAGAGAGAGGCAGAGACACAGGCAGACGGAGAAGCAGGCTCCATGCAGGGAGCCCAACGTGGGACTCGATCCCGGGACCCCGGGGTCACGCCCTGGGCCAAAGGCAGACGCTCAACCGCTGAGCCACATGTAGGGACATATAGGTGTCCCTAGTATATGGCTTCACCTGACTCAAATCCCTCATCTGTGAAACAGGAATGACAGTGCCTGCCTCATAGGATTGCTGTGAGCATGAAATGAGCTTGCGAGTGGGATAGGATCAATGCTCAAGCAAAGGTGGTTATCGTTATAGTCTCTTCGAGTCATTTGAATACACACTTTTAGAACTGGGAGTGGTCTTGGGATGAAGAAGCAGGGAGCCTGCTTCTCCCTCTGCCTGTGTCTCTGCCTCTCTCTCTGTGTTTCTCATGAATAAATTTTAAAAATCTTAAAAAAAAAAAAAAAGAACTCAGAGTGGTTTTATTTTTTTTATTTTTATTTTTAAAAATTTTTTTATTTATTTATGATAGTCACACAGAGAGAGAGAGAGAGGCAGAGACACAGGCAGAGGGAGAAGCAAGCTCCATG